ACTTCAAAATTTATGCTTTTTTAACATCAATGCTTCAGAGACTACGCTTTTTTAACTTCGATATTTTAAAGACAATGCTTTTTAAGATCGATACTTTAAAGACAATGCTTTTTTAACATCGATACTTTAAAGACGATGCTTTTTTAACATCGATACTTTAAAGACGATGCACTTTTTTTTAAAGACTTTTTAACATCGGTAATTTAAGGACAATGTTGGTTGTTTTTTTTACGTTGAAATAGTGTGCTAGATATGTTTACGTATTCAATGGTTGTTTGTAAATGAAATTCCAATAATCACCATTTTGTAAACGTTTAAGAATGGTTAAAACCATGCACGTTTTTGGCGGATGTGCAGCGAACATCTATGGATTAACTTTTAATCCCGCTGTTTAGTTGCCGCCGTCGCCGCGCCAGTGAGCGTTTGTTTATGTGGCGCGCCCAGTGGGCGCGGGGTCGCGGCGAGTTAGACGCGGCCTTGGCGAAGGTCGGGATCCCGGGCCGACCCCGGATGCCTCATGGCGCAGATAAACAAGGAGTTATTCACTCCGGCGCCGCTCGCTTTTGGAACGTGTTCAAGCCCCCGCCCTCCGGGATTCACTCTGATTTAAACATAGTCGCGCTTCAAGGTCACGCGCTGGGCGGAGAGGGGGGCACTGACTTCCAATCGGCTGCTTCGTTACAACGTAAATTTCGGTGTTGGAGCTTCCGATTCGATGGCAATGCCCCCCCCCCCCTCTCCCTGTCTCCTTCCTGCTCGAGAACTTCAAGAATTGTGAACTGAGAGCTGAGAAAAAGTTCAGGAGTTTTAATTTTTAATTCATTTAACGCCGAAATCAGTTTAAAACTTGCTGTGACAGACTATGGGGAGTATTGCAATTCATGCATTTTCTCTATAGCTCTGGAATCCTTCCTACTCTTATACTTACGATAGTTGAATTGTGAACTCAGCAACGTGCGTTTTTGGTTAGTATTGGTTTAACATTATTGGCTCTCCTAATAATAATAATAATAATAATAATAATAAATAATAATAATAATAATAATAATAATAATAATAATAATAATAATAATAATAATAATTGCAAAACAAGTCTGCTACCCGAATTGGCCATTATCCCTTATCGTGCTTTATGTGAAGGAATCGATACTCCCGCGTGAACATGGATAACGATTATTTGAATAGCTATATTCCCAATTGAGCGCAGGTCCCTGAGAGTGGAACATGTATGTCGGGAAGTAAATCAACGGGCAATTTCAGTATTTGTTCAAAGGATCAGGGAAACTGGACGAAAAACCTGATCGTGACGGTGGTCAGAAGCTGAAGTATACTTGTTACCGGCATATTAAGTGTTTTAGAATTATGCAGTGCAAATAGTAACTAATGCATTAAATATCCTTGTTAAATCGGTATTATTTTCCTTTGTCGTACTCAGAATAATCTGTACTTGTATAGAAACAGTGACGTAGCTGAAAATATTTTACGTATACTTTTCGTACTTACGTATTTGACACTTCAACAATAACATTTCAAATAGATGGGGATGTATTTTTATGGAATACGAAATTATATATTTTTTCCATTTATTTGATAAATGTAAACATGTTTTTATGTGCTAAACAGTGTGCGCTAAAAGTTTAATTTCTGTCATTTTAGTTTTAACGTGAGACGATGCTCAAATATTCAGACAAAACAGTGCGAATGCAACAAAAATATAATTTCGTTTTACCTATTTTTTTGAACTTAAAGTTCCATAGTACACAACGAAGTTTTGTATTACACTTGTATGAAAAGGAGAATCAGTAAGGCTGTCTAAAATACAGTATAATAATAATAATAATAATAATAATAATAATAATAATAATAATAATAATAATAATAATAATAATATTTATTTGGCTACAATTGGCTGATTGCCAGGTGGTAGCCACAACCCTACAGTTTTACAATATATGAACATTATATATATATATATATATATATATATATATATATATATATATATGTGTGTGTGTATGTGTGTATGTGTGTGTGTGTGTGTGTGTGTGACATGTGTGTGTGTGTGACATGTGTGTGACATGTGCGTGACATGTGCGTGACATGTATGTGACATGTATGTGACACGTGTGGTAAATGTGATTTTATTTTCCTCGTTTTTGACTCGGCTTTTTAATATAGAGTTGCAGCCTTTCCTACTCGCAATGTAAAATGCTACTTTTGCCACCAGACTCGTAAATAACTATTATTCACCCATTTATCAGTTATCCATGTCTTGAGACAAAATTAATGTCTCCTCCTTTCTCTTTTTCAAACAGTCATATCTGTTATTTTTAGATTTTAAATGTAAAAAACAAGAACAATGTGTTTAGATGATGTATACAAAAGCAAGGATGAAAGGTACTTCATAAGGCTTTTAAAACTTAATTCGCATTCTCATTTGTTAGTGCTCATTTTCCTATCGTGTGACCCCTTCGCGTGGAACCCTCTTATCTCGGGGGGGGGGGTTAATAACCTGCTCCCAGCGGAGGAGGCCGCCTCAAGTGAGCGGTTGCCCGCCAATTGATTGGTGAGTGCGGTCGCGACATCTGCTAAGTTCATTAGCCCTGTAAGTGTAGTGCATGTTTTATCTCGGGAGGTGGATGGCGAGATCCGGCGCCGACCTAGCGGGAGTTTTGCCTAACCAGGTGCCTCTCACCAGCCGAGATACGTTCTAAGTTCCCGGCATGTGTGGTAGTGGAGTGCATGTGTAAATGTGTGTGTGGGGGGTGAGGATAGGACAAGGAACAGGAAGGGAAGATCCCGCCCGTTTTCTGGCCCATTTGTTAAGGTACTGCTCCGGCATTCGCCGGGTGTTTTTTTCCTGCAGACATCGGCAGAATTCGACGCAGCTATCTAACTAGTATCGAAAATGCTGCCACCTTCCGGTCTCGATCCCAAGGTCCTCACGGTCAGAGGCACTGCAATGACATCAGTTGATGCCCTGAGTCATCTTTGTCGGTTTTTCCTCAGAGGAACTTAAAATATGGTTCTCGTGCCACGATGTCATCTTATTGACGCTTCTGAAATACACTGAAATTGGTATTTCTGTTGAGATAATCAATACGTGAACCTTGAGAGAATGACGTGTTAAAACGGATGAATTGTATTACTTAACTTAGACAGCCTTGGGCAGCATGTCAATATTATTATATTAAGCCGCCGGAATTTCCAACACAATCGTGCCTCTTCCTTCGTAAGTACACGTTGTAATCAATAAGCTTCTCCGCAAGAAACAGCGCAGTTATGAAACTGTCATTTCAAATGTCTTCCAGGTGGATAATAATATAATGATAATAATAATATTTATGATAATATTTTTGTTTTTGTAAAATCGTGCAAACAACAGAGAACTTTTAATTTTAAGAACATTTGTGCTTGAAAAATGTTAAATAACTTTCTCAATATCGCAACCAACAGCCAGCTGTAATATTCCACTGAACGGTGCCCGAATGAGTTTTTCCTTTTTTCTACGTCGCTTTTTCAGACATTTCGACAGCGCTCTGTGATAAAGCACGACGCATCCAAAAGGCGAACGCTCAGCCCTCCCTCCTGAATCATCTCTACGCCACTTACCTCCCCCTCTCCTCTCCCCTCCTTCCGTCCTCCCCTCCCCCTCTCCCTCCCCCTCACCATGTTGCGCGTCACAGTGGGCCCAGCATCTGAGCCCACACATTGCTCTCTTATCCCTAAGTAATTTCTTTTCTGATTGGCGAGAACGCAGAGAATTGGAACCATATACTATACTGTTTGAATGGGTGACGGTTCGTGGCCATTACATTGGGGGGGAGGGGGTGATTTAAAAAAATTAAAAACCTAGTTTGACGTTTCGGAATTATTTTTCCCTCGTCAGAGCTATGGGACACATAATCACATTATTACTACGTAGGTACGTCACTAAGTTGGATATAATGCATAAAAAAACAAACAACAAAATGATACACTGAGATATGATTACACAAAAAGAGGCACCGTAGTTAAAATGAAATAATTATGCAGATTGTTTTGAAAACCCACCTTATTATGTTTGTATATTGGCGCGCATTATTCAAAATTGAACCAACACGTGATGCCGGGAACACGTGCTACAACAACAACAACAACAACAACAACAACAACAACAACAACAGACACTGGCTCTATGTTAAAGACTGCACGTTTATGGACATGCCTTTGACTGCTGGAATCATTCTTTAGTTTTTAGTATCACATATTGGTTTCATTAATACAATAAGCATTAACCATTAACTATTCCTAGAATTAATAGTGTGGTAGGGAATTGAAGAGCTAATATATTTACTTCAGTGAATGTAATATATTACGGAAGGTTTCGTCATTTAGGCTTCTTCTGCTTTACCTGTTTCGGGAAGACACTTCAACTTCTACTGCGCAGTTTTCGTTGGAGAGTGAATCAAGGGGAGACATGGCGATGACCGATTTAAGTACTTCTATGTATAAAATAATATTTTATTTTAATTAAATATAATTCATTATAATATTATGTATTAATTATTTATTGTGATTTAAGTGTTTATAATTACATTCCTTGAAATAATTCAACTATTTATACTGTAAGTAGTGTGTACAGCCACAGACCAGACGTGTTTAAGGGATTATGCGTGCATAAACCAAAGATGGTGTCTGGGCGGCGCGTGCGCAAATTTGAGGGATTTTTTTTTTTCATAATTTGGCATTTGACAACCACGTCCAAACAAGGACGTAGAACAAACCGACACTTGTGAGAAAGTCATTTGTCTATTAGAATGTTTGCACGGCCTAGTATAAAACGTGGTCAACAAACACGTGCGATGTGTAATGCCGATTCCACTAGTTTGTTAATGAAGTTTTTGGCCGGCGATATGAAGCCAAATGCGCCGTGCCTGAGGCCCCGAGGTGGCGGTGGCCTAGGGTTGGAGGTCAGGCGCTGTCCGGAGGGGGTGAAGGGAGCGGCTGCTCTGACCGCAATGCGCTGGCGAATGCCTGAGGAGCCGCGCGTGCGTGTTGCAGTCGTGGAGCTGGGCGACGACATCCGCACGTGCCTGCAGGAGCGCACGCTGGTGATCGCCAACCACCAGTCGACGGCCGACGTGCCGCTGCTCATGGCCACCTTCAACACGCGCCGCCACGTGCTGCCCAACCTCATGTGGATCATGGACCGCGTCTTCAAGTACACCAACTTCGGCATCGTCTCCATCATCCACCAGGACTTCTTCATCGTCTCGGTGAGCGCAATTTTCCTACTCCTCCACTTCTTTCAGTCTCTCAGTCCTTGTCCCGGCGGCACTGCAGCTTATGCCCTTACTCAATTCACCTATGCGTTCCTTTACAGTTATATCGTTGCTAAATGGGTTCATCAATGGCTCTTGCAATACCAGCGCCCTGCACGAGGTTCATTTGTTTTTGGCAAAGTGGTCCCTTCTTAGAGTAACTCGCATATTTCCGAGATTCCCAGCCGGTCACCCAACCAGGAATCTGTGGTGTATCGAATTTATTAACGTCTCGCGACTTGGCGGGGCGGATTTATGTAATTCTGCTAACGCTGCCTTTCAGGTCGTTCAGGCCAGTGGACGATATTTGTCGGGTTCTTAAGCAGTTGGGCGTATCTTTGCGAAATGTATTCTTCTGCCTGCCTATAGGCTGGAGCGCCAGCTGTTACACTGAGCTGCTAATTTACATTCAGCTAATGTCGCCCCTAAAAATATCAGTGTAAGACTTCCTACAGATCGTGTCAAGGAACAAAAGGAAATATGTGTGTGAATGACGTGACACGCATGTTAACAAACAGACCTTAAAAAAGGAATTTCAATAAGTTCGCAATGTTTACTTTCATCACGCTTTTAAATAAATCCGCAATAGACTAATTTATAATCATATAATTATGCATGTAAATAATATTTCTTAAAAAGGAACGTTTTAAGTGTACTTTTGTCATATGGTATTCATAATTACATCATGGGGAAATTCTCCAATCGGTGGAAAGACAATAAAACTGAGTAAATCATCCCAAACACAAGTTACCTCGAGCCCCAATTAATATTTGCGAAGTGAATGCGAATCTTTCGTACGTGTTACGCCCTCGTAGTTGGTCACGCGTCATCAGTGCGTGTCAGGAAGCCGCTCACGTGACCGAACCGACGATGCCATAAGAGACTACTCAGAGAGACAAGCGCGGGGACGTGCGATCCTCCCAAGTACTGCTTTTCCACTTCCTTTCCGTGGCGTGCGGTCTTGGACACGTGAACGCGCCACAACCGCGCTCTGATTATCATCAGTTTTCGTACGCGAGGTAATCCCGGATACAATGACTTCGGATAACTCGCGAGTGTGTACAAAATAAGATTTGAACTAGAACTTTTCGAGGCTATGGCTTTAAAAGGGTAAATTGTTGAACAAAATCTTATAGAAACTTTTTGTGTGAAATTGTGTCTACTTTATTTACTACTATTTATATAGTAATTTTATCGTAAATTTACTATTTATTACTACTATAATTTTCGGTTGGATTTTTAATTATATATGCAAAAACGGAAGAAGAAAAAAAGCATAGCCCCATACCCCCAGCTAACACCTACAATCGAGGATTGTTAGTATAATGTACTGTAGGTACCATCAAACAATTACGTGTGTTTATACCTACCGCACAAGTTCCAATACTCCGGAATATTTGTTTCACTCCATTTGTCTAATTGCACTGGGCTAGGTGTTCGAATCTCGCGTTAAGCATGGATCAAATGTTATATTCCCTTCGCATACCGTATTCGACATCTGTATTTTTCGCCAACAACCGCATGCTGTCGCGAAGGGCATATGGTTACCTCGACAATGAAAAGCTAGTGGTGCTCTACAATGGCACAGCCTTTCCTCTACAGAAGCATGAAATGTTAATTTTTTTCTAACGGGAAATGAATAATTTTGCTATATCTATATCCGTTTCGGCTTCACTTTTGCCATAAACCATTGCTACGGTCACTTTTCCTGCTTGTGAATACTTAAGTTAGCTTTCATCTCGCATGATTTGGCCTTGGCGAATGCACCAGGTTGCACAGGATACTGGTTCTCGCTGTCTGAAATGTGGAAAGAAGGAGAGAAAAGTTTTCTCTTTTATGGCCTTGCAAGGAATGCGTGTTGCGAATGATCGCACTTTCTACGTTTTGTAGATTTCTGTGAAAGATCGTGTCAAGCCCTCTGATCTTCCAGGAAACTACTTAGTACTTCTGCGTAGACGTTCTTGTTAGGTAGAAGACGTGCATGACCAATTGTGTAAATATTTTATCATTTAGAAATGAAACATGTCGGGTATAATTTCCGAGATTGCTAGAGAGAGGAAATAAAACCATTTGCATGTTCTTGATTCGTCGACTATTTGATAGCAACAGTAGTTATATGTGATAGCAACATGTAGTTATATTGCTATGGTAGTTACAGTTTATTGTTGCGGTTTTCTATTTAATGTATTTTTACTTAAATTATTGATTGATGTTTGGTTTAATGGCTTTTTGGTTCGTTGATGTTCAGAATACGGTTAGAATGCTAAATAATTGGCGTAACAGTTTTGTGGAAATATAATTATGAGGTTTTATGAATGAAGTACTATTCAGTCAGAAATTATGGAAACTCGTTAAGAATCACGCTACTAATTGTCTGAGATAAACTTAAGTTGAATATCGCTCTGAGAACGAATATTGTTTCCTCTGATCGTCTGAGGAGCTTTCCGATTCATGCTGAACGTCGAGGGACAAGGCAGTTCTAGAGAGGGGATGGCTGACAGTTCACAACCGAACGAATCGCAGACCCTAGGAGTCGGTCCCGGCGGTCACTGGATTTCTACCTACATAACGTCAAATTCACTCGTCATTCATTCATTCATTCATTCAGTAACAAAGGCTAATGACTGTACATAATTTTATTTGAAAAAATTAATTAGACAAAATGTGTATGTTTTGGTGTGACAAGGAAGGAAGTAACGAATATTAAAAATTATAAAAAATTTGAATGTTACGTAACCAAATAGAATACCCCCTACCCCTGCGTAACGCTGCCTCAAACTCCCACCCCCTCTTTAGCGATCCGTAGTTTGTGGGCGGCCCCTAGGTAGTTATCCATTGTTTCATACATTGGTAGCAGGAGAATGCCACAACAGAACCCCAACAATCGGGCCATTGGCGTCGAGGACGTTTTCTTTTTGTTTTTTCTTCTCGTTCCACATTGATTACGGTTTCTAGGCTCGACAATTGCTATGATCATTAGTCCTGTTACTGTAGTGAATGTTTTATGCTGGGAGGGGCAGTGCTCTTCCCCAGGGAGATCTGACGCCGACCTACACGTCGGCTTGCACGCGATTTCCCCCTCCAGGAATCGCCCACAGTGGGGGCTGCCCCGACCGGGATAATCGGTATGCACCCCTTCCCGTTCTCCCCAGTAAGAAATCTATCTCTACACTACACAAGTAGTATGTACGAAAAAGTAAAGACAATTACTAAAATTGATTTTGTAGTGATAACGAATGTAGTACTGATGGTCCTGTTTTCAGCAGTCACTAGCAGAAGCGAAACGAGTGCGAGCTTGCCCGCCAAACATTTATCGGAGCCTTTTTAATGAAAGTGTCTAGCAGACACAAGGAGTATTTCTAGGCCCTCTTTTACCCGGGCCCTTCCGCATTGCGGGGCTTGCGCGCCCGGACGTTATCAAGGGCAGTGAGCAGGGCCGTAGAGTTCTTCGAAGGCAGGGGCGACTCCCAATGAAACGAATGCAGTTCAGTGACAACTGAACACGCGCCATCGTTATCACCGGCTGCGTCGTTGGAGATGGGGTACTATGAACAGAGATTGCCTTTTAACTGCAGAAGCACTGACAATCGCTCATATGTTTCTGCTTTATTTGCAAGTACTCATTACGAGAATAGTGTATTACGCAACTAGTTTGCCATTTTATGCTTTTCTGCAAAAAGCACATTTTGCAAACGAGCGACGTCCGGAACGACTTCTCAGATTTGTGCGAATGCCATAAAACAGCTAGTTACATGCGCTCTGTTGAAACACTACTATTCCCAACCTTGTTCTCTCCCTCCCTCGCCCCCGCCCACTCTCTGCTTTCTCACCCTTTTCCACTTCCCACCCTGAAACCGTAACAAAATAACCTATTTTTCATGGATACTGCAAGTACTTTTATAACGAAAATTATTGAAAGGCACACGGTTCGACAACATAAATAACAGAATTGTTGGCTGTTTATCGGCGAATTACTTGAATGAGAATTGGAACTTTTATCAAAAGCATTTTAGGTCTGCAGTTTAGGAGCCGAAACGATTGATTTCCTCCTCATTTTTTGTGGAACAACGAAGCTGCTAAATGGAAAACAAAGATGAATTATTCCCGAAAAAGAAGTCTTAGGTCGCACGTGCTCATAACAGAACCCTTGAAAGCCCGTGCCCCACTCCGAGCGAGGCCTGTGCCCTTAAGTCGCGAAGAAGTCGCCTGCGTCTGGTGCGCTGCCGCGGAGGTTGCGGAAGGCGCTAGGCGCCCGTTCAGTTGCTTGTTCGTAATTCGTGCGTTATCGCGCATTCCGAGCTTACGCAATTTCTCAAACAGCGCAGACTATTGCTGCCTGTGTTGACTCCGGACTTGCAGACGCAGAATGAAGTATCCATCTGCGATAACGCTGGTGTACTAAATTAATTTTCTTTTCTGTCACAAGAACTTTATTGCGTGATAGCTAAGTATGCGCTGAATTAAAAAGGCATGCCGTTTTCCTATTACCATGTTTCCTCCATTTTCAGGTTTGAGTTAAGTAATTTTTTACAGACAAGTATACACACTAAATTAAGTGATAACACTGGTGTACTAAATTAATTTTTTTCTGCCACAAGAACTTTATTGCTTGATAGCTAAGTATGCGCTGAATTAAAAAGGCATGCCGTTTTCCTATTACCATGTTTCCTCCCTTTTCGGGTTTCAGTTAAGTAATTTTGTACAGACAAGTATATACACTAAAATAAGTGAATAAAAAAGCTGAACGTACCTTTCATGTGTTAATTGATGATTGAGTATTTTGAGTGGTGAACATCCGTTTGAAAGGTGTAGCGGTAATCTGCGACTTCCTTGCGCTTCATTGCCTTTGTGGAAACTTTCGCGTTCGTCGCTTCAACCCACACCGCCACCCCAGGTTGTGTGGAAAGAAATGCAAGTGAAAGAAAAGGAAACGAATCTTCGTATGACTTCAGTTACTCCTTTACCTGCTCTGTAGCCAGATTCCTTGTGACCTAATTGTTTCAGCAACGGTGTTCTTTAAACAAGTGCTTGTGAATTAATCCTTCCTTTCTATCACTATACCGCGATTGCTCCCTATACTGACGGTTGCATTCAATCGGGAGCTTGAACGTCACCAAGCCCCCGAGTGGATGAAACCGCTAACCGCTAACAGCTGACACCTGCCAGGGGCAGAATGGGAAAAATCGCAGTGTAAATCTCTTATTTGTGGTTCGACTAAACGTGCACTACTCTTAGGGACTAATGATCTGGGCATTGATGCGACCGGAATGACCAATCAATCAAAAAACTAATAAGCACAACGCTTGCTAGTACTTCTGCTCTAACTCCCCACCGCCTCCGTGCCTGCTGTCTTTTCGTCAAGAATAGAGACAGCTGCGACCTCACTTGCCATTTGTTTCATCTACTGCCCTATCGTGCTAACTTAAAAGAATTGTAGCGTTATTTAAACTAAAATGCCCGGGAGGTATCGTCTTTTTTCTGACCCCCCCCCCTCCCTCTTCAATTTTCCGTGCGGTAGACGCTCATGGTCACGCAACATGGCGGCTTGGCTGTTCCCCGGAAACTATTTTCACGCCCTCTTGCGTCGCACGGGGGTTGCGCAGCTCACGGAGCAAACTCCTCCTTCTCTGAGTGGATCGCCGTCAGCCCATGCGCGCGAAGCCATTGCCATCCTCCCTGTGCACGGAAGCGGCCTTTCTCTGTTCCACGAGCGCCGTGTAGGTCAGCTCTCGTTTAAACTAGGGGAGTTGTGATTCACTCGACGTGACGGCTACGTGGATGACGCTCGTCCTTCGCAAATGAAGGGAAACACTTTTATGAGAATTAGCTCATTGCTAAACTTCCATGGGGAAGCAACTACGTAATTTTACGTTCATCACACAATGCCCCTCGCGAATGTAAACAAAAATGTGACATGGATTATTTCTGTAACATGTTGGCAGAGCACTGTAAGTTACAAAAATTGCAATTAAATAATTTATACAATGTAAGTTAATTTCGATAATAGAAATAACAAAAACAATACACCCAAAAGCTATATACTACATAGTTATGTTAAACACTAAACGCATTATTTTCTAATTACATTGCTCTGTATTATTATTATTATTATTAAGTATAAGAATGGCAAAAATTCAAAGTGGGCGTGGCTCACTGTGCCTCCTTTCGTGCACTACGTCCGAGTCGAAGGGGGGGGGATCAAAGAACTAGTTTTCTGCGTAGTTTCCCCTTTTCAAAGTATTATTACTTCATCAGAATCCGAGCCCTGCTTGTTAGGAGGCGCGCTTTCAGTAGCCAGCACTTTGAAACAAGTGTCACACTGTGGTCGGCCGTTTCCAATAACAGTGTATGAAAATTGAAATTCAAGGGACTGTCATTAGAATTGAAGAATACGTTAGAAATGTCCCTTTTGTACTTTCGTGTTCATTTAAAAACATATCCATATTGTCATAAATACAATTGATAACATAAGACAACATTTGAAAACGACGTAAATTAGTGTAAATTAATATCCAAACCGATTGAAGCGGAATTACAGAAATGGCATGCGTATTACGATGCTGCCGAGCCGTCCGCCAGATGTCGCTAGCGCACCGAATCGTCCAGGCGAGCGGTGTGTGACGGAAGGGCAGGTCCAGTTCGCTCAGAGGAGGTCGTTGGAGCAAATCAATTCTCTGCAGTGTTTATACGAAATCTCCGCCACGCACATTTCCAAAACCACTGCTGTATGAGTATTTTAAAAGATTAAACCCGTCATTTTCTAACTACACTGCATTACACCTCAGAACGCTACATTGAACTTGACTTCGCTTTTTGGATGTTTTCAATCTACTTCGCAACGCGGACCATCCTCCAGTCCAGGCACATAATTATTTATCAGCAACAATGTATTTTATTTTTATGTGATTTATTTAGTCAAAGAACAGTAAAAACTGTATGTGACGTATGGGGAGAAGTACTATCAGTGC